TTTAAATGACACAGCAAGATAGCTTAGTAAGGGGAAGAGTCAGGATTTAAACACTTAACCTCTTAGGTTCCAAGAAGTTCATACTCTGTCTATAAGTACTACATTAGTGCTTTTCAAACTGCAAGTCATAATCCAACAGTAGTTTGGGAAGTAATTTTGATGGGAAGAGACCAGCTTTAAAAAAACAAAAAAGAAAAATAGAATAGAAAATATAAAAATGAGTGTATTACATGTGGTTAGGATATACATTGCTTATACTGGGTCATGATGTTAAATTTATTTCTTACTATGGTTTGCAGTAAAAAATTTGAAAGATTGTACTATACTATGGTACTTTGACATTATAAAGAAAGAATTTACATTTTAGCACCTCAGAATTCAACTTCATGAAGTCTGCGTATTTTTAAATTCTATTTCCATATGCTCTCATTCTATTAGTGAACTACATTTAAAAACTAGTTTATATCATGTGTTCTTACCCATTTATGAATTTAAGGGTGGTCCTGTTTTATCTGGTCTATTTTAAGAAGCTCTCTTTTATTTAATTTTTTTTTTGAGGTGGAGATAATTAGGTTTTTACTTACTTGTTTTTATGTTTAAAGGAGGTCCTGGGGATTGAACCCAGGACCTTGTGTGTGCTGTGTGTGTGCTCTACGACTTGAGCTATACCCTCCCTGCTAAGAACCTCTCTTAATGATGTAAGATGGTAACTGGCTCCTAGGTTCAAGTAATGCCGTGATGGTAGCTTACAGTTATTAAGCACTAGCTGTGCCATGCATTATTGAGCATTTTACACATACTGTCTCATTTAGTTTTCACAGCAACCTGTATGCATAGATTGTAAAGAGGAAATTGTGGCACAGAGGATGAGTAGGCTTCCTAAGATCACACAACTAGTAACTGGAATTGGAATTTGAACCTACTCATCTGACTCAAAAGCTTATGCTTTTAACTGCAACGCTGTATTGCCTGTCAAAAGTTTGAAATCAATGTATTCACCAGATTTCTGCCTCTGCTTAGTTTCTACAAGACACTTGTGGAATTGTGTATCCCTTTGAGAAGAAGGAAGCCATGGAACTCTTTGTAGAAAATGTAGATGCTCAATTTGCATATAAGTCCAAGGGGTTCATAGACCCCTTATGCCTCTCTCTTCAGGCAGATAGCTCACCCATAGAAGCCAGGATAAACAAGAACCCTAGTCTAATTACTCGTAAGCACTACTGACTAGTAGTTGTAAATTTATTACAGTCAGTTGTCTTCGTTAAATAGTCTATTTGACTTAGAACAGCAATGGTTTGGGTTCATGTTTGTATCTTAGCTTGTAGATAATGGATTTTAAAATAAGCCTGGAATATTTATCAAATATCAAACTACTTTGTTATAGTTAATTCTATTTTAATTTTAAATGTCTTTTTTTTTTTTTTTCAGATTCTGTGCCATAAATACCTTATTGGAGTTTTGGCATATTTGACAGAATTGGCGATTTTTCAAATTGAGTGAGGCCTTGTGGGGACTATACATTATGGATTCTATACTTTTTTCTCACTGATAATCTGCTGAATTGCAATGCTGAGAGGGACTGCAGAAGAAATGAGCATCTCTCTCTGCATCCGTTTTCCTCACAGTGCCTTGGAAATACCCAGATGACAGTCAAGAAGTGTCTAGAAGAACAAAGAAGGTGGTAGTAGATGAACTACAGCCAGGTGCTCATGTAGTAGTCATGATCGTCTGGGAGCCAGTCTCTAGAATATGCCGAGTTCTTAATTTGTTGGCCATCTTTCTAAAAATATATATGATGTTTATTATGTGAAACTTTTAGGATTGAAGTGAGATATCTTTAATGTTGACTCTTTCTGATTTGCATCTTTAAAACCTTTAATTACTAATTTTAAGCATTTTAGACTTACACTTAGAATTTGTCTTCTGTAGGCATTTTCATAGCATTGTTTTGCTGTAGAGAACTGGCAATCAAAATCCTCCCCAAAGGAAACTAAAGATTACTATACATTTTTTTAAGCCACTAATATGCTTCTGTTTTTAATACTGTTCAATTCTTACTGCAATGTTGAGTTAAATATTCACTTTTAAAATGAAGCATGTGTTTATCGGTATCTTGGTGACAGATTTTTAATTAATTTCTCAGGAATGGGAAGCTATAGGCTTTTTCTCTAGCACAAAGGTTACACAACAACTGTATGGGATCATACAAATTGTAGAGTTGAAAGACACCTGTGAGCCTCTTTTGAGGGCAGAAATTATATTACTTAACTTTCGTGTTCCTATTTTGCTTTAGCACAGTGCTTGGTAAATATCTGTAGCTTGCTTAAGTAAATTAATTTTAACCAACTCTTTGATTTTACAGATGAAAACTATGAGATCGAGCAACTTTGACTTGCACAAGATGTTATATCTAAAATTCTTTTTACTCACTGAGCAGAGGAAGATTTTAAATAATATTTTTAAAAATCTTGTTTGAAAGAAAATAACTTTAATGGGCTGTCATTCAAAACAAAGATTAACTTCTGGAAGGGGATATTATTTCACATATACTAGGAACAGCAGAGGTAGTAGGAAAGCATTGGCTTTGGAGTCAGACATTCATTCATTCAACTAACTCTACACTCCTGCTGTGTACTTAGACCTACGTTGGGTCTATAAGGTGTATAGCAGTGAAGACAAGAAAGGTCCCTGTCCTGTGGGAATATATTCTAGTAGAGGAAGACAAAAGAAAAATCATTTCAGATGGAGATAAATGCTGTAAATAAGGCAGCACAATAGGAAAGAGGGTGACTGGGGTGGGGCCTACTTTACATACAGTTGTCCAAGAAGGTCTCTCTGAGGACGTGACATTTGAGCTGAGTCCTGGGTGATGAGAGGGAACCAGCGGTGTGAAGACCTGAGGAAGCCTGTGCTGGGCAGGTCAAACTGCAAGAGCAAAGGCCTTGACGTAGGTAAGAGCTGGCTTGTGTGAAGAGTAAAGGAAGTTTGTGTGGCCGGAGCCTGCTGAGTAAGGGTGGAGTGGCATGAGGTGAAACTAAGGAGACTGTGCAGCAGTGACTTCTTTCATGGTGTTGCATCTCCCAGTTTGGGGCTGAGCATGTGGCTGCCCAGAATAAAAATGACATTTCCTAGCCTTTTTCATAGGTTGATACAATCATATGAATAGGTTCTGACCCATGGCATATAAATGGAAGTGTCATGTAGAGCTTCTAGGAATCTTCCTTAAAAAAGCCCCTATACCCCTTGCCCTGTGCTGCTGCTTCTTCCAGTTTTTCTCCTTAATGTGTCACTGGGATGAGGGTCAGGTCCTAGGGATGGCAGAGCATGGTCTGGAAGAAGTCTGTGCCCTGAGGGCTCTTGGACTGAACTCCAGCGCCGGCCTCGGGCGGTCTTCCTCCAGACTTACACATCAGAGATGTAAGCTTCTATCTCGTTTAAGCTATTGTTACTTCGGTTCTCTTGCTCATAGCCAAACTTAACGCTAACTGATACAGAGGCAGGGTCCACATCATCTAAGGTTTAACAGGTACTGTGAAGAGACTGGATTTTATTCTAAATGCAATAGGGAGCCACTGAAGTTTTAGTAGAAAAGTAATATGAAGATGAGTAATATGACCCAATTTGTATTTTATAAGATTTTATAAGACATGGAGAATAAGTTGTAGGTGGACAAGAGTAGAAAAGGGAACAGTTAAAAGGTTGTTAGAAATGGTACAACCTCATGGAGAAGTTACCAATATCTAGCAAAATTATGTGTGATTTATCCTTTGACCAGCAATCCCACTTCTGGGATTCTATCCCCAAAATTCACTAGCAAAAATACAAAATGAAGCAGGAACGAGGCTGTTTATTACAACAAAATTTGTAATAGCAAGACTAAAAACAATCCAGATGCTCAGAGAGGGATTGATTGAATATGGTATAGCTGTGCAGTGAATTACTATGTAATTATAGAAGGGTTTGAGGAAAATGGTTAATACCACCATAGAGTTATCTCTAGGCTATATTGTTACATGAAAGAGCAAGATGTGGATAGAGTGTATAGTATGCTATATTTTATGGAAGGAATGGGGAAAATATGAGTGTGTGTATATTTGCTTACTTTTTGAAAAAACTTTGGAAGGCTAAACTAAAAACTAAGAAAAGTGGTTACTAATGGAGGTGAGGGAAATTAACTGGGTAGAGGGGACAGGAATGAAATTAGGACTTATCTGAATGTTTCTTGTTTATAGTTTGAAACCATTTAAGTGTTTTATGTAATTATGAAACAAAATTAGATCAAAAAGAAGAAAAGCAATCCCTAAAAATTGAAAACATATGAACCTATGTTAAGTTTGTGCCATAATCACACAAAGGATTATTTTTAGTACCTCTAAATCCTTGTGTTTTGACTATATATCTTCAGTGGGCTATATCCTAGGAAAATAAAAGCAGCAGAGGAATCTTCAATTGCATTGACTTAAATAGTATTGATATTGTTATTTTACCACTATTCATAGTAAGATAAAATATATGTAATTATAACAATGTTAAGACCTAAGGTTTCCAGTATAATAGAAAAGATATAAAATCAAGTGAGCTAAGTAGAAACTGTAATATTAAGTCTGAATTGGAGATACCAGAATGAACTCATTTATTTCTGAAATGCAAACATTCCTAATTTTGATGAAGCCCACTTTGTCAAATTTTTTTTGTTTCATGTGCTTTAGGTGTTGTATCTAAGAAATCATTGCTTACCCCAAGGTCCTGAAGATTTACTCCTAAGTTTTCTAAGGATTTTATAGTTTTAACTCTTAAGTCTGTAATCCATTTTGAGTTGACAATTTGGCAAGAATTTAGGTCTGTAATCCATTTTGAGTTTTTATTTATGGTGTGAAGTAAGCATTCAAGTTCATCATTTTGCATATGGATATTTATTTGTTCTAGCACCACTTATTGAAAAGACTGTTATTTTCCCATTGAATCGTCTGTCACCTTTCTTAAAAATCAGTTGGCCATAGATGTTTGAGTTTATATCTGTACTCTCAGTTCTGTTTTATTCATCTATATGTCAGTCCCTATGCCAGTACCACACTGTAGCTTGGTAGTGTTTTGAAATCAGGAGTGTGAGTCTTCCAACTTTGTCCTTTTTTTAAGTTTGTTCTGGCTATTCATTTTGGTGTTTGGCATTTTCATAAGAATTTTAGGATCAACTGGCCAATCTTTATTACAAAGTTAGCTGGGATTTTGATGGTGATTGCCTTGACTCTGTAGATCAGTTTTGAGAGTACTGTCATCATAATGATATTAAATTTTCTAGTCTGTGAATATGAGATATCTTTTCGTTTATTTAAATCTTTCAAAATTTCTTTCAACAATATTTTATTATTTGATACAACATTGTAAAATGATTATAAATCGATAAAAAATGTTAAAAAAAACCCCACAATGTTTTATTGTTTTCAGCATCCAAGTATTGCACTTTTTTGGTTACATTTATTTCTGAATTGTTTTTTATGCTGTTGGGAATGGAATTGTTTTCTTAATTTCATTGTTGGATTGTTTGATGCTAGTGTATAGAAATACAGCTGATTTTGTATATTGCACTTGTATTCTATGACTTTGCTGAACTTGTTTATTCCAGTAGTTTTTGGAATGAATTCTTTAGGATTGTCTATATATAAGATTCATGTCATTTATGAATAAAGACAGTTTTACTTCTTAATTTCAATCTGAATGCCTTTTAGTTCTTTTTCTTCCCAAATTGCCATAGCTAGAATCTCTAGCACAATGGCAGATAGGTAGAAGCAGTGAGAGTGAAGTCTTATCTTGCACCTGACCTCAGAGGGAAGGCATATTTTACCACTAAATATGATGTTACCCATAGGTTTCTTCATAGATACCCTTTATCAGACTGTGCGAAAGTTTAGTGCCCCAGCTGCCTGTGTTGTTCAATGGCTAACTGTTACACGTAATGAGAATACCAGGAGAGAGAAAGGAATAGAAGAAATACCTGAAACAGTAATGACTGAGAATTTCCTCAGATTAATGTCAGACACCAAACTACAGATCCAGGAAGCTCAGAGAACACCACCAAGCAGTTTAAGTGCCAAGAAACTATACCTAAGCATAAAATATTCAAACTATAGAAATTCAAAGATAAGGGGAAAAATTCGGAAAGAAGCCAGAAGAGAACACGTTACCTATACAGGAACAAAGGTAAGAATTACATCTGACGTCTCTTCAGAAACCATGCAAGAAAGAAGAGAGTGGAGTGTTAAGAGAAAAAAAAAAAACCTATCAATGTAGAATTCTGTACCCTATGAAATTATCCTTCAAAAGTGAAGGAGTTGCAAACATTTTGTTGGACAAGCAAAAGGAAATTTCATCAATAGGAAATTTGTCATCAGTAGACCTGCCTTGCAAGAAATGTTAAAAGAAGTTTTTTAGAGAGAAGGAAAATAATACAGGTCAGAAACCTGTATCATTGCACCTGTATAAAGTAAGGAAGAGCATCAAAGAAGGAATAAGTGAAGGTAAAATTTAAAAATTTTATTTTTCTTATTCTTAATTGATATACCATGACAGTATGTTCAAAATAATAAAACAATGTGTTCGAATATGTATGCTTATTATATATAATGTACATAATATAAATGTTTATAAATAATACAGAATATATATACATTTAAACATATATTTATGTATGTCTATATATAAATGAATGACAGCAATGGTACAAGGGACAGAATGGGCTTCCAGATATTACATATGTCCTGACTGATGCAATAGAACACTTATGAAGTATTTCTAAGTATTATTTAATTTCAGTCTCTTTATAGAGTGGTAGGTTTGACGACTCCTTTCACAATGGAGGATACACACATATGCATGGAACAGAGAGTGCAAAGACTATGGAAGAATTTCTAAAAATAAATGAGCAAAGGAACAAAAAAGCAGTTTAACCAAGTGAGCACATGGAAGGACAGGAAAAAAGAAAGCTCCAAGGTATAATTGTAAATATTAAATAAAATGAGAACTAGGGAAACTTTCATATGGACTAGGTACTAGGTAATGTTAACAAACTGTCAATTTTATCAAGTGTGGTAGTGTTATTATAAGCAGACCTTATCTGTTAAAATTAAGTATTCAAATGTGAGTAAAATAGCATGTGCCTGGAATTTGCTTTAAAATACTCCAGTGGTGGTGGAAGAAGAGTGGGAGGGAATACATCAAATAAGATAAGCAAAGTGGTAATCATTTTTGAAGCTGCATGGTGGTACTTGGGCATTGGTGGATTTGTTACATTCTTCCCTCCCTCCCCCCATGTATTTGCTTTTCCCAGAGTAAGAGAAGTGGGGCAGAGAGAGACACCCACGGTGAAAGCAGAGTGTGTTACGACCTAATTTGGAAGTGATATACCATCACTTTTGTAGCATATACTCAGACTCACAGACCAGACCAACCTTGGTGCAGTGCAGGAGGCTGTTACACAGGGCGTGAATACCAGAAGGCAGGGACCACTGGGGGCATCTTGGAGCCTACTTCCATACCCACACAGACAAAAAGAGATGGGAATAAATGTCAGGAAAGAAAGTTAAGAGAGGAAACTATTGGCATAAGAGATCCTTTAGGATGGTACCTGCCTGCTGCTTGGTTCTCCTGTCTTATTTCTGGACTTGTCCTTTCTGCATTTTACTATCCTGATAAACCAAACTGCTTTGGTTTCCCTAAACACTCCATTTTATCTCATTGCCTTTAATTCTGTGTATCTTGCAGATGCTAGTCTGTCTGGAGTGTCCTTTCCACTCTTGCTTACTTAGCAAGCAAAACTACAACTGTCTTTCAATCTTTTCTCAGCCACAACTTCTTTTCAGATCACTCTTTGAGTCTGCATCAGGCCAGACTATTGAATCACTACTGCTGGGCTGTGAGGTCAGCCTTTGAACAACTTGGGTTTGAACTATGGGTCCACTTTCACACGGTAAGTACTACAATGCTCACCCCGTTTGAGGTTGGTCGAATCTAAGCTCATAGTAACTGTGTTATTCAGGGTTCTCTAGAGAAATAGACCAATAGGATCAATTTATCTCTATCTAACCCTAACTATCTATCTATCTATCTATCTATCTATCTATCTATCTATCTATCTATCTACCTATCTATCCATCTATCTATCTGTTATCTACCTACCTACCTATCTTATCTGTTGATTTATTATAGGAACTGACACGATACAGTTCTGGAGGCTAAGTCCCACAGTCTGCCTCTGCAAGCTGGAGAATCAGCAAAGCCAGCAGTACAATGCAGTCCAAGTCTGCAGGCCTGAGAACCAGGAACTCTGATGTTCGAGGGCAGGAAAAAATGGACGTCCCAGCTCAAGAAGAGAAAGAGAATTCCCTCTTATTTTGCTTTTTTGTTCCATATGGCCCAAAACGGATTAGTTGATGCCTGCCCACATCGGTGAGTGTGGAATCTTTACTCAGTCTACTGAATCAAATGCTAATTTCTTCCAGAAACATCTTCATAGACACACCAAGAAAAAAATTGTTTTACTAGATCTCTGGGCATCCCTTAGCCCAGTCGGCTTGACATGTAAAATTAACCACCACAGTGATTTGTACAACTTTCCCCAAATTCTAATTTTCTCTTGAAAGCTTGGATTTTATCATTGATGATAAATGCTGTCAGTTTTCCTTGAAGTGACAGCCTCCCTTTGTTCAGTTTCCAGAAAACGTCCACCAAACACCCAAGTCTGAATAATCTGTCAATCATTCCTTCAAAAAGTGTCTTGTTCAGCTTGCAACTCAAAACAATCACATAAGATTTTCCTTGTGACAGTCACTGTGTTTTGGTATGTAGCAGAAATATTCCATATATCCAAGGGTTGAGATTTCTTAAGTGAAATTGACAAACTTTTTTGTACTGTGAGGGGATGGTGGTGATACCATGACTGGTAGTACAGCAGTTTGGTGCCAACTGCCTTGAATTGTGCTAAAGCCTGGGCAGTTTATCTACCATTGTTTTTGCATCCTCAGTGCAAATGTTAAAAAAGAAAAAAGAAAAGGCAAAAAACTTCCTAGGATTACTAAGAAAATAGCTTTGACTCATAGATATTCTGAAAGAATCTTGAGGACTTTTCAGAGGTCCACAGAGACACTCTGAGAACCACTAACATAGACGCTTGATCAAACTCAGGTTTGAAATTGTAAGCTTTTTGAAGACAGGGACTGTTCTGTTTAGTAGGAGTCCAAGTGTTCATTGATCTAAATTCACCCTGAAGATACGTGTCCCCTTTTCCTAAGAATTCAGAATCCCTTAAGTAAATATTCTAACTTTCTAGGATAGTGATATCAATGTTACTGTTACTGGAATAACCCCATATATTTTATGTTAGTACAATAAATACAATGCATCTTCCACATTTAAAAGAATGTAAGTTCCTAAACATAAATGACTAAATAACTGAAAGGTTACTATTGTTAAGGACCCTCAAGACAACTCTAGTTGAAGAGTTTTGTCATTTCTAGGAATTATTCTTATCATTTCCAGAACAGAGACCTCTGTTTAAAAGCAATTTACAGAGCATGTTGTCACAAACTATTTAAGACAACCAGCCAGTGATATTCAGGTTTCCTGGGCTGTTTTTGTCTCTTGCTTTTTTCTCTCCTCTCTTGCATTTCCTTCCTTATCCCCGCCCCCGCCTTTTTTTTTTCTTTTCCCATCTGTTTACCAAGTTAATATAAAGTCTGAAAAGCTTTTCCCCCACTCTCAAATATTGTTCAGGAGGCAACTTTTCTAGTTTACAGTTGTTGAGAACTAGTCTCTGCAGTGTAGAAAGATGCAAGTAAAATACAGGAGAACCAAAGTGAGGAACAAGGACATCAGAAATAGGATGTGGAGAGAAGGATGGATTTGGAACTAGGGGGTGTGCATTTGAGGTTCAGCTTCTGTCATGTCATTTAAACTTTTCTAAGCTTCACTTTATTTATTTATAAAATGAAGGTGACCACCAACCCAACCCAGCTCTGGGTTTACTTCCCAGAGTTGTGGAAATCACTATGCAAATAAGTTAATATTCTGTTCTACACCAGTGGGCCTCTACTCGTGAATCACTGTCACGTGATCTGCCCTCATCCCTGCTTATGAGAGTCTAATCCCTAGAATTCTGTTCCTGTTCTCATTCCTCTCCTTTTCTTTAAGTGTACGCAACAGTGGAGTCTAGGGAAGTATATGATACTGTCTTGAAGGTGGACTGTTAATGATGTAGTACTGTAAGGATTTCAAAAAAATTTTTATCCTTTTTCAGTGTTGCAAAGCAGACTTACTTAAAATTTAGGTCTATTAGTACATTCAGTTCCAGGCCACGTTTCAGGCAGGTCTGCAGTGGCTGTGCAGCACAGAAAGAGAAACCAAGTAGAAGTTTGGGGAATGATTTCAAACGTCGGTTCTATCATTGACTATTTACTCTTAGGCAGAACTCCCTTGGTTTTCAGTCTCAGGGTAGAGAAATAAATGGATTTGGACCAGAGGATTATTAAATCTCCTTCCAGCTCAAAAATTGTATGAACCTAATATAATAAAAATTCATTATTCTAGTTGTCAATCCCTTTATTCCTTCAGGTTGAAATTACTTAAAACATTACATATAGGAAATATAAATGCTATAGAAGTAGAAAGTCTAAATAGCAAAGATACAAGCATAAAAAAGCATTAACCAAAATTTTTTAT